GGAAAGAAGCACAAGGGCTTAGTGAAGCAAGACCAGGCCAGGGTGACCAAGACACTGAAAGCGCAGGAGAATAATTGCTAGAGGACAGAAAGAGCTGGGACTCCCAGGAGACAATGCAGATTCCTGATAGCAGGGAATGAAATTAAGGATACCTGGCTGTTTTCCACAATGCACACAGGAGAAGGAAAGGGGAGAAAGGAAGAAGGGAGAACAGATGGAATTCCCTGGGGAAAGAAGGCAAGAATTTTTGAGTGTGAGAGTGGTCTCGGTGTGAAAAAGCTGATGGAGCCTCTGCTGGCAGAACCAAAACAGAGCTGGCCAAGGTCCTGGAAATGCTGTCCTTGCTGTGTTTCCTTGAGGAGAGGGAAATGAGGCACCTGTATTCCAGAGTTCATGCCCAAGTGGAGGATGTTGTTCCTTCTGTTTGCTGGGTGGGTTCAAGAGTCCTGATGGGGAAGGGAGTATTTCAAGTGTGTGCTGGCACAGTGAGACTCTACCAGAGCCATGAGCAGGAGAGCATGGATGTGTCAAAGCTTTTGCGGCAGTGGGTTCCAGGTTTATGCCACATTGTGGAACGTATGTCCTTGTCTCCTCCTTCCAGTGCCTGTCTTGGTTATTGCTACTGGTGACATCTTACCTAAGAGAGGTGTTCTGCTTCTTTTCCATCCATGCCAACGGCCTGTCTGGCATTATATTTGGTGAGGATATGAAGCCATTGGAATTCAAAAAGATGAAGAGCCTTCTCAGACTTTGATGCAGGAAAACTTTATTAAGGGAAAAAATGAAGATGGGAGAAAGAACTAGAAGGAATCTAGTGTGAGATGCAAGTAGGGCAATGATCAGCTGAGGTGATTTGCTTGCAGGAGCTGTTGCCAGAGCCCCAGGCCCATTGTGGATGTCAGGGGTGGTGCAGAGGTCCCTTAGCAGTTGTAGCCATAGCCCCTTCTGCCATAGCAGCCAAGGCCATAGCCATAGCCCTGCCCGTAGCCGAATCCACAGCCATAGCCAAATCCACGGCCATAGCCAAGGCCGTAGCCAAATCCACGGTCATAGCCAAGGCCAAAGCCACCAAATCCGCCAGAGATGGGCTGTCCCTGCACACTGAGCTCAGTGCCCAGAGCAGCGGAGGAGGTGGATCCGACGGCGGTGTTCTGGGGGAAGGAGGTCATGATGGGTCCTGGCAGGGTGATCAGCACGGGGGAAGGGTCGATGATGACACGGGAATCCTGGCATTGCAGGGCACAGGGCTCGTTGCAGCTGTTGGCCAGCGGGGTGGGTCCGCAGGGACTGCAGCGGTTGTAGCAGGCCATGGGTGTGGTGTGGAGGGTGCCTGGAAGAGAAGAGGGTGAGGCAGGGCAGGGGTGTGGGGATGTGAGGGGTGATGATGCAGGAGGGTGAGGGAGTGTGGAGGCTGTTGTGGGGCTGTTGGTGAGGTGTGAGGACGGCTGAAGCTGGGGCTGAGGGCGCCACCAGAGAGGGGCCAGGGGTGGAGGAGCAGGAGGGTCAGGGGATTGAGGCTCACCTTGTAGTCTGCAGGAGCAGGAGGTGTGAGGAGAAGTGTGTGAGGGAGAGAGGCTCTGGGCCGGCTTTTATGCTGATCCTGGTGGGGCGGGACAGCCTTGTCCCATGGCCTTGGGGCATTTTAGTGGCATCAGCTCTTGGCTGCCTCATCCCGGTGAGTCATGAGTTGGGGCATGTTTTCCTTCATCAATTCTGCAATTCCATGTCCTGCTCTTGATGCTGTGCCCCTCTGACCTTGGCGGTGGCTTTAATAAATTGATATTTAGGCAGATATGATTGTTCCATGCATGTCAGGGAGGTGTGAATGAACAACCCAAGCCCTGAAGATCTACAATGTCATCAGTGATGTCATTTTGTGGCGTTTTGTGCTGTGTGCTGTGGTTTGCGGGTGCCTTGTGAAGACTGGGACTCTGTTCCATGACACTGCATGTCCATCTGTCATTGTGTTGCACCCAGGAATCCTGAGGGAGCTGCTGATGTCCTGGGGCGGTCACTCTGCAATAGCTTGTCAAGAACCCAATGCCTTCAAGCCTTTCAGGATGGATGAAAGAGAACTTATGGCCTTTTATCTTGAATGGGATCAAAAGAGAGGACATTTAAACTGAGAGGCTGTTCAGGCTGAACTTATTCCAGTATTATGATCCATTAGGATTTCTCCAATTCACATGACAGTGTCCTCTGCCATTTAATCTGTATTCCTTGACCTTGTTATGAAATTCACTAATGAAACAACCAACTGGGCTTGATCCCTTTTTTCCCGGGCTGTCTCTGACATCAATTAGCTTATTCCACATTCAAGCCACAAGTTTCATAACTCATAACCTGTAATTGTTAACATTGTGTTCCTGTAAGCAAATAATTACTAATGAACAATCAGTGGACTCCTCTGTTGTTCCCTGTCAAGGTCGGCGCATGTCTTTGTGGAATTGTGCAATTCCATATCCAGCTCCTGAGGCCCTGTCCATCTGTGGCTGTAACTGTTAATTACAAATATTAGGAGGTCAAATTTTTCTGTTGGTGGTTCATGTCAAGGAGGGCTGAAGACGTGACCTAAGCTTTGGAGAGGTGGGATGTCATCACTGTGGTCACCCCACTGCCCTTGTATGCTGTGGTTTGTGGGTGCCTCATGAAAAATTACCCCAAAATTTTCACAGTTCTGATAGGCTGGACTGAGATTGACAGGTGTGCCAAGGAGGAGGTGTTGTACCTTCCATTGCCTTCCATCCCTTCAGTTGGCAGAGGCTGACCTCAGAGCTCACCTTTCAATTTGAACATGCTCAGTGGGTGCTTGGGTGATAGTCTAATCTCAGAGGTTTTGATATTTTTCGTCTTCCCTTGTGCTGAGTGCCAAAGGCTGAGGCCACTTGTGATTGTCAGAAGGAGGATTTGGAGGTTGACCAATTCTTGTCAGAGACAAGCATTGCATGATCCTCAATAATCCAGGTGTGTCCTGGTGGTGTCAGTGCCCAGTGTAATGGACTCAGAAAAGTGTGAAGGGCTGGGGCCAGTGCCTTGTGGTCAGTGTCCCAAAGTCCAGATGGCAGCAAGTCCCCAGTGCTGACCCCTGGGCCAACACTGAAAACTTGTTGACTTCTGGACATCTACTGGACTTCAGCAAGGGCAGCTGCCAAGTGCTTTTTCATGTGAGGAGTCATGCCAGGTAGGAAGAAATATCTGGGTGTCACTTGGAACAATTGTGCTCTTCTCTGAAAACACCTTTCAGAGTGGTTCTGGATTGGAGGGAATGGGGCAGGAGGTGTCCCTGTATTGTTGTGGGAAAAGGCTCCCCCAGTCTCCACCTCAGGACTGGGGGGAATTGTTGTGGTGAGGCAGGGAGACGATGTGATGAGGAGACTCTTGGTGTCTTCTGAGTACTGGTGAGGTCCCATGTGAGATGTTGTGTGCAATTCTAATCTCCCCAGTGTGAAAATGATGTCAGCTTATGAATATTGACTCTCAGAACCTCTGCTGGTCAGAGTGACTCTGAGATACGTTAGAAGGTCTCTTTTCTCAGCTTGGTGGTTGAAGAAGGAGTCAGAACTCTTCAGTTCTTGGTCTCATATCTATAAAATGCTTTCTCCTGGCCTGCCAAGGTCTGCTCAGCAGGTCAGTCAGAGTCACTCTGCCTGCTCTTTGGCGATGTTATCTTTTTATACTAAAAACTACGTGTACCATATTTACAATTACTTTCTAATACTTATAATTTATGTTAGACAGTGAGTTTCTATGCTAAACTAATCTAAAAGTGCCAACATCACAGCAGAAGATGGAGGTCAAGAAGAAGAAGGAGAAAGGCTGGACACTCCCAGATTCCCCCATCTTGCCCCCTGAACCCCCATTCTAAAAACCTCAAAAAATGTAGTTTTCCACCTTGTGATAAATTCACTATCATTCTACTCAGACTTTTGTGGCTTGTAATCCTTCATAGAAAGGTTGGTAATTGTTTTTTCCAGGGGCTAAATCAAAGGCACAGGGGTCTTGGGCTCTGTGTCAAGGTCTCTGAGCCCTCCGGGCAGGGGCTCTAGTCCTCCACGGCAGCCAGAAGAATTTCTTGAGTTCTGACAAGTCACTAGTTCAGAAAGACCAAGAGTCCAGAGGAGCTGGTGGATCATCACTGGATGAGAAACTTAGAGAGCTTGGACTCCCAGGGGATGGGGGCAGACAGGGGATTGTCATCAGTGTGTGCAAATCCCTGATGGCAGGGAATGAAGGTGAGGGAACCTGACTGTTCTCAGTAGTGCACACATACAGGACAAGAGGGCAAGGGCAAAGGGAAAACAGATGGAATTCCCTGTACAAAGAAAGCAAGAATTTCTCATTTTTAGGGTGGTCATAGAGCGGAAATGGTGCTGGACTGCTGGCCCTGGGAGATCCAATGCTGAACTGTCCATGGTGCTGGGAATCCTGCTCGTGTTGGTCTTGCTGAAACAGGGAAATGGAAGCTCTTGCACTCCAGATTTCCTGTCCAAGTGGAGGATTTTGGTTCTCTTATTGCTGGAGGGGTTCAAGAGTACTGCTGGGGAAGAGAGTTTGTCAGGTGTGTGCTGACACAGAGCAACTTGACCAGAGCTGTACCCAGGAGAGCATGGATGTGTCCAAGGCTTTGGTCTATCAGGGATGTGTTTGTACCATGTTCAGGAAAGCGTCCCCTCCTGTGCTTCCCATGCCAGATGTTTTTATTAGTTGTATTTACATATTTTTGAAGGAAGGTGTTGTTGCACATACCCCAATGGCCAGTTTAGGCATGGAATGCACTAGGTAAGGATGTGAGACCACTGGAATTACAGAAGAACAAGAGGCGTATCAGGCTTTGATGCAATAAGACTTTATTAACGCACAAGAATGAAGAGACGGGAGAAAGGAGAAGACAGGGTCTGGTGAGAGGTGCAAGTAGGACAAACACAAGCTGAGGTGCTTTGCTTGCAGGAGCTGTTGCCAGAGGCCAGAGCTGGTGGTGTCAGGGGTGGTGCCAAGGTCCCTTAGTAGTTGTAGCCATAGCCCCTTCTGCCATAGCAGCCAAGGCCATAGCCATAGCCCTGCCCATAGCCGAATCCACAGCCATAGCCGAATCCACGGCCATAGCCAAGGCCGTAGCCAAAGCCACCAAAGCCACCAAAGCCACCAAATCCGCCAGAGATGGGCTGTCCCTGCACACTGAGCTCAGTGCCCACGGCAGCCGAGGAGGTGGATCCGACGGCGGTGTTCTGGGGGAAGGAGGTCATGATGGGTCCTGGCAGGGTGACCAGCACAGGAGAGGGGTCGATGATGACGCGGGAATCCTGGCATTGCAGGGCACAGGGCTCGTTGCAGCTGTTGGCCAGCGGGGTGGGTCCGCAGGGAGTGCAGCGGTTGTAGCAGGCCATGGGTGTGGTGACGAGGGTGCCTGGAAAAGAGGGAGGTGAGGCAGGGTCATGGAGGTTTGGGGGTTGTGATGGGTGGTATGGGAGGGTGATGGAGTGTGGAGGCTGTTGTGGGGCTGTGGGGAGGTGTGAGGGCTGCTGAGTGGTGCTGAGTGTGTTGGCAGAGAGGGGCCAAGGGGGCAGGAGCAGGAGGGTCAGGGGATTGAGACTCACCTTGCTGTCCGGACTGGCGAAGGAGAAGGTGTCAGGAGAAGTGTGTGAGTGAGAGAGACACTGGGCCAGCTTTTATGCTGCTCCTGGAGGGGCGGGACAGGCTTGTCCCATGGCCTTGGGGCATTTTGCAGGCAGTAGCTCTTGCCTGGCCCAGCTTGGTGAGTCATGAGGTGGGGAGTGTTTTCCTTTCTGCAATTCTGCAATTCTGTGTTCTTCCCTTGCGGCTGTGTCCATCTGACCTTGGCAGAACATCTTAATTGCAAGAATTGATTATCTTGTTGTTTATAGTGTGTGTTAGGACATGTAAAATACTCCATCGAATCTTAGAGTTATTGGGGTGTTGTCACTAATGTCATTCCATGGCATTCCATATTATGACATCTCCTATTTGCATTCTTGTCTCCTGCCTGAAAGAACTCCCAGATTTCTCACCTTGTCCTCGTTTTGAGGATACTCAAGTCATGCCAGTGTCATGGTGTCCCTGCAGTGCTCTCAGTCAACCATGTCCATGTCCTTGTTCCACCAGGGATCTCTACCAGTGTTGTGGACCAGGACAGTCCACTCCCTCAACCTTTCCAAAGCTCAGGCACATGGGTTCCAAGAGTGAATTAATCAAAGGATGGGGAGCTGTGCTCCTCATGTATCTTGTTCTCCTTATCATTCAGCATTTTTCCTTTCCACAGTCACAGGTGAGATGGGCGCTATGGATGAACCAACTCAAGACTATGGGGAGCATGGGAGGCCACCCTAAATCACAGGGATTGAGTTCCCATCTCCAGCAGGAAACTCTGGGGATGTTTACAACATGGTGGGGATGGAGAGAACATCATAGAAAGGGCAGTTCCTCACAAGCAGAGCTCCTGCAAAGCCAGACAATCCTGACAGAGCTGTGATGACTCGGGGCCCCATGTTACAATGAGTGGCAGTGTTTAAGGGTCCCCAGGATGAGGAAAAAGATGAGAATTTTTACTCCATGTTTCAGAAGGCTGATTTATTATTTTATGATATATACTATATTAAAAGGAAATTATATATTAGACTATACTAAAGAAAGAGAGAAAGAAGACCTCAGAAAGCTAGAAAGGAACGAATAATAAAATCTTGTGACTGACTAGAGTCCCAACACAGCCGGACCTGTGATTGGCCATTAATTAAAAACATGTCACATGCTGGGCAAACAATTCTCCAAATCACATTCCAAAGAAGAAAAACATGGAGAAGCTGAAGGTTCCCAGCTTCTCAGGAGAAAAGATCTGAGCAAAAGGATTTTTCAGAAAATATGTCTGTGACAACAATGCACCCAAAAACCAAGACACACCAGTGCCATGGGGTGACCTCACTGATGACACCGCGTCGGTCCAAGGCTTTGGACATGTCTCCAGCCCACCATGACACACGGCATCAACACCTGCCTCTAACCTCTAAGGCACTTAAAATCTGCCGCCAAGGTCAGGTGGACATGGCCTCAAAAGAAGGACATGGAGCTACAGAATTCCACAAAGGAATGCCCACACCATGTCATAGGAGGGAAGATGACTGTGCTGACCAACCATCAGTAATTACTGGGTTTTGCTAGCAGGAACAGATTATTAGGATTAAAAGGATATGAGATATGAAAAGTGATGGGATGAATGCGGATTAAAGGCAAGAACATCACAGGCCAGCCTGGGAAAAAAAGGATTAGGCTGAGTTGTTTAATGGATTTCTTAATGAGGTCAAGGAATATGCTTTAAATGACAGAGTACAATGTCAAGTGAAGATGAGAAGTCCAAATGGACCATGACACCAGAACAAGTTCAACCAGACCAGCCTCTACTTTTCCAGATGTTTTCTCTTGATTCAGTTCAAGACACAAGGCCATGAGATCTCTTTAATCTGTAGGAACACTCATAATTCACGATAATATTTCCATGTTATTGCAGAGTGACCTCCCCAGGACATCAGCAGCTCCCTCAGCATTCCTGGGAGAAGCACAATGACTGATGGACATCCAGTGGCACAGAAAAGAGTCCCAGTCTTCACAAGCACCAAAAAACCACAACACATAAGTGCCACAAAATGACATCACTGATGATATCTCAACTCTGCTGGGCTCTGGTTGTTTATTCAGCCCTTCCTGAAACACACGGAACAATCAAATCCACCCAAATACCATGTCTCACTTCAAAGAGGCCGTCAAGGTCACAGACTCACAAGGACACAGACTCAAGAACCAATCATGACACTGCTAAATTCTATGAATGAAAATACAACTCATGACTCATCAGGCTGGGCCAGTCAAGAGTGGCAGCCAAAAAAATGCCCCAGGGCCATGGGACAAGGCTGTCCCGCCCCTCCAGGATCAGCATAAAAGCCAGCCCAGAGCCTCTCTCCCTCACACACTTCTCCTGACCTCTTCTCCTCCTGCTCCTGCTGACAACCAGGTGAGTCTCAAGCCCCTGATCCTCCTCCTCCTCCCTCCCTTGGCCTCTCTCTTCCAGCACGCTCAGCCCCAACCTCAGCAGCCCTCACGCCTCCCCACAGCCCCACAACAGCCTCTACACTCCCTCACCCGTCTTGCTCACCCAAACCTCCATGACCCTTCCTCACTCCTTCTCTTCCAGGCACCCTCCACACCACACCCATGGCCTGCAACAGCCTCTGCCGTCCCTGCGGACCCACCCCGCTGGCCAACAGCTGCAACGAGCCCTGTGCCCTGCAATGCCAGGATTCTCACGTCATCATCAACCCTTCCCCTGTGCTGGTCACCCTGCCAGGACCTATCATGACCTCCTTCCCCCAGAACACCGCCGTCGGATCCACCTCCTCGGCTGCCGTGGGCACTGAGCTCAGTGTGCAGGGACAGCCCATCTCTGGGGGATTTGGTGGCTTTGGCTATGGCCTTGGCTATGGCCGTGGATTTGGCTATGGGCTGGGCTATGGCTGTGGGTATGGCTACAGCCTGGGAGGCCTGGGCTGCTATGGCAGAAGGGGCTATGGCTACAACTACTAAGGGACCTCAGCACCACTCCTGACACCAACCAACCAGTCCCTGGGACACTCCCCAGGCACTGAAATGCATCTCTAGGCAACGGCTGTGAGCTGGCTCAGAACTTCTAGATCCTGCTCTCAGGGAACCAAGCAAGACACCAGCCATGGGCCCAGCCCGGGCTGCCTGCAAACATGGCCCATCTGCCTCCTGCTCTTCTCCCACTTCCTGCTCTACATTGCCCCTTCAGCTCTGTCCAGTCCCCTCCAGACAAACCCTTCTCCCAAGCCAGAGACCCTCAGGCACTGGCACTCCGTTGGGCTGCTCCCACTGTGGGGAAGGAGGGCCTTGGTGCTCTGGCCAAAACTGAAAGCCAAGGATCTTGGCTGATGGTCACCTTCCTTGCACCCCCTACTTGCCCTTCCCCTTCCCAGTGGATGCTCACAACCTTCCACTGTTCTTTTAGCTCAATAAAGTTCTCTTGCATTACAGCTTCAGATGTCTCCTTTCCTTCGCTGACACACACAGGCACACTTTGCCTTTCTGGTGCATTCCAGACTTTCCTTGCTTGTTCCCAGGCCTGAATACACAAATGCAATCTATCCCTGTCTCTAATAGATGCCATGTAGGAGTCTTGTTTTCACTTTGGCTGGACACCACTTGCTCCAAACCCACATCATCTTCCAGGGTCATCTACAGCTCTGCTTCAGCAGGCCCGTGTCTTTCATATCCTCAGGTGCCCAGAGTTGAACACACGTCTCCAGCCTCTGAAGAGCTGAGCAGAAAGTCAGAATCTCCCCTCACCTGCTGCCCATGCTGTGATGATGAGCCCAGGACATGGAGGAGTTTTGGTCTGTGAATGCACATGGCCAGGGCATGTCCAATTCTTCATCCACCGACACCCCAAGTCCTTCTTGGGCATTCTCTCAATCAACTCATTATCTATCTATTACCTATTTCTGAGATTGCTATGTGTCTGAGGGGACAACACTGTAGAGCTCATTATTTAGGATGTTGAACAGAGGTGGCCCCACGGATCTGACTCCTGGGCTGCTGGGGATTCACCTCCATTTGCACTTTGGGCCACTGATCAGACAACTCTGGCCTCAGTCCCTCAGCCTCTCTCAGGCCACTCACTGCACCCTCAGGAAACTTGGAGCTGCTCAGTTGCTCTGATAGTGTAGAATCAGAAGGAGTCTCAAGGGCTTTACAAAAGGGTTGTGTCCAACAGCAGCCACAGCTCTCTCCTCATGCCCAAGCTGAGTCTCTGGCACCGGGCAGACACACAGCTCAGCCAAGCACCATTTCCTCAAGGGAAATCCTCCAGAAGAACTGGCCTCAGCTCTGGGAACTTGCCACATCTCAGGCCCCAAAGGCCTGGCTCACCCCACCCCTGCTACTGTTCCCATTTTCACGAAGGGCAAATTCTTCCTGAAAAGTTTGATGGGGTTCCAACACTGGTGAATGACAGAAGAGCAACTGATATCATGTACGTGGACTTGTGCAAAACCTTTCTTCCTGTGGCAAACAACATCCTTATCTCTGACCTGGAGGGATGTGGAGTTGACAGCTGGAACATCAACTGTGGGGTGGAAAATGGACAGGATGGTGTCACTCACAGTTGTGGTCAGCAGCTCCATGTCTGTGAGGGGAACAGGGATGAGTGGTGACCTACAGAGGTTAGTACTGGGACCATTACCACTTCCCATCTTTGTCAGGCACAGGGAATTGAGTGTCCCCTCAGCAAGAATGGGAATAACATCAAGGTGAGCAGTGTGGTTGATTGTCTGGAGGGAAGGGATGGCATCCAGAGAGCTCTTGACAGGCTGGGGTGGTGTGATTGTCATGAAGGTGAACAGGATGAAGTGCAACATCCTAAGTCTGAATTGGAGCAATCTCGGTAATGGATATTGGATCCATACTGAGATCCTTGAGGAGAAGGACTTGGGACGTTGGTGGATGAAGAATTGGACATGCCCTGGCCATGTGAACATGACAAAGAGAAACTGCCCGTGCCATGGGCTCATTGCCACAGTGTGGGCAGCAGGTGAGGAGGGAATTCTGACCCTCTGCTCAGCTCTGGTGAGACTGGAGTTCTGTGCTCAGCTCTGGAGCCTCAAGGGTAAAATTTACCATTGGGGTATTGTGACAGTGTTCACAGGGGTCCAAGGATGAGGGAAGAGACAACGATCTGACTCCATGTTTCAGAAGGCTTGATTTATTATTTTATGATAAATATTATATTAAAACTATACTAAAAGAATAGAAGAAAGGATTTCATCAGAAGGCTAGCTAAGAATACAAAAGGAAGAAATTAATAACAAAGGCTTGTGTCTCAAACAGAGTCCAAGCCAGCTGACTGTGATTGGCCATTAATTAGAAACAACTCTATGAGACCAACCACAGATCCACCTGTTGCATTCCACAGCAGCAGATAACCATTGTTTACATTTTGTTCCTGAGGCCTCCCAGCTTCGGAGGAGAAAAAATCCTAAGGAAAGGTTTTTTCAGAAAATATCATGGCTACAGAGTATCGTGGATCTGTATCAGGGCTAAAGATATATCGAGGGAGTGGACCAACAGCTGTGTAGCCATGTGAAAACGTAGCCCAGGAGAAGCTTGTGTCAGAGGCAGGGATAGATCTGCCTTAGTGTATCCAGGCATAGGATTACGCAAGTGCAGGGTTTGTTGTATCCAAGGGAACAGCAAACTGTGCCAGCGTGTGCCCATGAAGGAAAAGGAGACATAACAATGCTGCAATGCAAAAGAATTTTATTAAGGCATAAGAAGAGCGAGAGATCATGAATGGCAAGAGAAAGGGAGCTGGTCTGAGATGCAAGTAGGGCGACCATCAGCTGAACTCCTTTGCTTGCTGGTGGTTTGGTCAGAGCATCGAGGCCTTCCTGCTCCAGAGTAGAAGCAATCTGATGGTGAAGATTCCCAATGATCTCTGGCTTGGGAGAAGGGATTTGCAGCAGAGGGAGCTGGACAGAGCTGAGAGGGAGTGAGAGAAGAGCAGGAGGCAGATGGGCCATGTTTGCAGGCAGCCCGGGCTGGGCCCTTGGCTGCTGCCTTGCTTGGTGCCTTGAGAGCAAAATCTGGAAGTGCTTAGCCAGCTGACAGCTTTGGCCCAGCAAGGCATCTGCAACACCTGGGGTGTGTTCCAAGGAGTGGGTGGTTGGTGTCAGGGCTGGTGCTGAGGTCCCTTAGCAGTTGTAGCCATAGCCCCTTCTGCCATAGCAGCCCAGACCTCCCAGGCCGTAGCCAAATCCACGGCCATAGCCCAGCCCATAGCCAAATCCACGGCCGTAGCTAAGGCCGTAGCCAAAGCCACCAAATCCCCCAGAGATGGGCTGTCCCTGCACACTGAGCTCAGTGCCCACGGCAGCCGAGGAGGTGGATCCGACGGCGGTGTTCTGGGGGAAGGAGGTCATGATGGGTCCTGGCAGGGTGACCAGCACAGGGGAAGGGTCAATGATGACGTGAGAATCCTGGCATTGCAGGGCACAGGGCTCGTTGCAGCTGTTGGCCAGCGGGGTGGGTCCGCAGGGACGGCAGAGGCTGTAGCAGGCCATGGGTGTGGTGTGGAGGGTGCCTGGAAGAGAGAGGGTGAGGCAGGGCAGGGGTGTGGGGATGCAAGGGGCAGTGAGGGAGTGTGGAGGCTGTTGTGAGGCTGTGGGGAGTCATGAGGGCTGCTGAGCCTCGGGCTGAGCGTGCTAGAAGAGAGGGGCCAGGGTGCAGGAGCAGGAGGGTCAGGGGCTTGAAACTCACCTGGTTCTTGGAAGAAGCAGGAGCAGATGGAGTCTGGAGAAGTGTGTGAGGGAGAGAGGCTCTGGGCTGGCTTTTATGCTGATCCTGGAGGGGCAGGACAGCCTTGTCCCATGGCCTTGGGGCATTTTGGAGGCTGCAGCTCTTGGCTGTCCCAGCCTGGTGTGTCATGAGGTGGGGAGTGTTTTCCATCACAGAATTCTGCAGTGTCATATCCTGCCCTTGAGTCTGTGTCCATCTGACCTTGGAGGCAGCTTTAGAGTGAGAGCTGATATTTGGGTAGAGTTAATTGTTAGATGTATGTCTGTGGAGTTTGAATAAACAAGCAGAGATCAGCAGAGGTGCAATGCCATCAGTGGGCCTTGTGTGTTGTGGTTTGTCAGTGCCTTGTGAAGACTGGGACTCTTTTCTGTGCCACTGGGTGTCCATCAGTCATTATGTTGCACCCAGGAATGCTGAGGGAGCTGCTGATGTCCTGGGAAGGTCACTCTGCAAGAGCTTGGAAATGTCCCCGTGCCTGGGAGATCATCCTGATGGATTAAAGTGGGCTCTTGCTCTTGTGTCTTGAGATTGAGATTGAGAGAGTATCTTGGAGAGTAGAGGCTGTTCAGGCTGCACTTGTTCTCATGCTTTTGTCCATTTAGATTTCTAAAATTTACCCAACACGCCGCTCTATCATTTAATGTATATTTTTTAATCTCATTTAGAATTCCAATAGCCAACAACAAATGCAGGCCCATCTCTTTTTTCCCAGCCTGGTGTGTGACATTAATTAATTTATTCTGCATTCAAGCAAAAGACATTCATAACTTATATCCTGTAAATGTAATATTGTGTTCCTATTAGCAAAAAGGACTAATTACTAATGGACAGTTAATGAGTTGCTCCTTCCTTCTCTGTCACGGTGCTGGCGTTCCTTTTTGTGATTCTGCAATTCCACGTCCTTCTCTTGAGGCCGTGTCCATCCGACCTTGGCGGCAGCTTTCAAGTGTGAGTATTAGAGGTTAAATTTTGGTCTTGATAGTTTGTGTCCGGATGGGTTGAAGACATGACCAAAGCTTGGTGGAGATGCCATGTCATAAGTGAGGTCATCCCACGGCACTGGTGTGCCGTGTTTTGTGTTTTTGTGTGGTAAAGAGGGACCTCATTTCCTCATGGAGCTTCTCATAGAATTCACAGAATTCACAGAACTCACAGAACTCACAGAATTACTGGGTTGGAAGAGACCTTCAAGATCATCTAGTCCAAGTCATGCC